GAGTTGGAGGTTGCTGTGAGCGTGATGCCAGGGCACTCTACCCAGGGGGATAGCTTGAGGCTCCGTCTCAAAAAAAAAAAAAAAAAAAAAGAAAGAAAAGAAAGAAAACCAGGAGACCCAGAGTTTCTAGGGTGGGACTCCCCATCTTAAACTGTGACAGGCAACCACACATCACCACATAACTAGTCTGTGACACCTGAGACATAAAAACTAGCACAGAGGAGATTGGGATAATTCAGGAACCAAAGGAAATCTAAAATAATTTGTAAAAACAACAAAAAACACAAAGTCATGTATCCAAAGATACTGGAGAAGTTATTGAAAACACCAGCAAGGTAATCTGGTCAAAGAAAATACCGTCAATTTTCTAATTGGCCATCATAAAGTATGGCCACAGAGGCCACCTGGGTCTACAGAAATCAGTCTCGTATGCACACGGCGCAGGGAAAAAGAACATGTTTGACCTCAGATGTATTTCACCTACTACCTGTGTGCTCCTGAGTAAGTGAACAGCTTCAGTCTCATCAAGAGTAACTTGGATATTAACTCCCTTAATACAGTTACTCTAAGAATTTAGAGGTTGTTTTTTTCTGATGTGACAATACATTCACTAGCACTTGGCAGGTCCTCGATAAAAAGGATTCTTATGGTCCACAGCAGCAGAAAAAGCTGATGGTGTGTTATTACATACAAAATAATGTTTAGAAAAACAACAGAAGCCACAGGAAACATGCTTTAAGGTTAACGACCATTTAATGTATTGACATTTTCACTTATAAATGTATAATTTGCATATACAGGGGAAAACAGTTTCTGTAGACAACACTAGGGACCAGGAAGCAAACACAAAAAGAACAACTCTGGAAAGAAAAGTGGAACTGTATTCCATGCCTTATGTCTATATAAACAAAGGAAAAAAAATAAAAGATTACACAGGACCAACACTTGATGCGAAAAATAAACTTGGGTTATTTGTCCCAATTGCAGGGCCTTCTTCTCATGATCCAGATGGCAACCCTGAGTCCTAGGAACTAAAACAGATAGTCAGGCCCTGTTCACAAATGATAATCTGAGACATTAACAATAGGTCTCCCTCTTCTCTTTAATATTCAAGACCCTGAAGTTAACTCAAGAAATTAAAAGGACAATCAGATCAGCATGTGTACAATGTCAATGGCTAACTTCTCCCAGGTACCGATCATCACTTAAAAGTATACATGGAAGGAAAATGCTTACTCAAACTTCAACAAAATTCTTCCAACTCACACACTTAACAAAGGACACTGCTAAGAAATGGAGGTGATGAGAAGGTGGGCATCTATGGAAGTTCTGGCACGGAATCGATCTGAGCTCACCATCACCCCCAGTATGCACCTCAGACCAGGCTCAAGTCTACTGACAGTGAATTCCCAGGCCCCACTGTGGCTGCCTCGTGAGCCTGACCCCAGGGGGGACGGGGACTAGGACACACACAGGTGCCCAGGCTTCCATCCACACCTCTCCCTCTTCAGCCAGGAGCCAGGGAAGCATACAGGTGCTCTTTCCTTCAAGAGCACCCAGGTATAACTGAATTCTGTGTGGTTCCTGTAATTCCTGCCCAGTTACTCCAAATTACACTTGATGCACCAGGAGAAACTATGAATGGTTTGAAAGTAAAGCACACAGTTTTGACAATTATATGAGCAAAAGCCACTCACATCACACAGGATATAAAATCCTCTTAACAGCATTTTAAACCACTGACACCAGAATTGTAACACACTTCTGTCCAGAGAGGACAAACACATTTCCCTCCTGGGAACAGACACCCCCTTGGCAACAAGACCCATACAGACCAGCAGTCACTACTCAGTTTGGCATCTGGTGTAACAGGGGAAGTAAGTGTACCTCAGAGACAGAGCCGACTAGGCAGTATGTGCATGAGACAGTATCACACAACCAGCCAGAAAAAACAAAACACAGTCTGTGCAACCTGGAGTGTATTTGGGGAAAAAAGGACCACGTGAAATGTGGAACAGGGACACTCAGTGTGCTGAACTGCCCTTGTAAGAGGGCACTATTCACAGAATGCAAGACAGAAAACAGAGTCATTAGGAGCTGTACAACGTGAAATATGTGAATATGTGAAATACATACTTCATAATACTGGAAATAAGAGTACTGGACAGAAAGGCAAGACTATGGGTTTTCACGAGATTCACATGTTTGGGGGCTCAAAGCTCAATGTTCTAAGGTTCTCTATCACACGTGGGTCAGGAACAAGAACAAAGCTGGGGGCCTGGCCGAGCTGAGTGGTACTCTGAGCACGTCTCTCACATCCCTGGGCCCCACTTCTGTATAGCCTGTGTCTGTCCCAGCACTCAGCGAACAGTCACAAGGATCTGTCTGGCACAGGACAGGTCCTCTGAGGTACAGAAGGGCATCCTTCACCCAGCACAATCCCCAGAGGGCCAGAAATGGGAACTGTCCTAACTATGGCTCTCCTTCTATTTCCCTCACATTCTTTCACTATCACTCTCACAACTAGTAGAAAAATAGGGTCCAAGTAGGCTTAGGCTGCAATAAAAACACCCAAAGCCGACACAAAACCACGTCTCTGAATAAAGCAAATCTACTTCCATACACTTGTTTGTTATTGTTCTGCCTTCTTCAAGTGTTAAAGGATAAAGCCCTAAAACTTTGAGGTACAAATCAATTCCCAATTTGAGATGCTTTCTAATTCCTACTACCAAGACCTACCAAAATAACGTGAGAATAAGCAGCTAGGGTGAGGCAGGTTTCTGAAGCATCCTTTCCCAAAGCAGGACTGTCCCCTGTCATCCTGAATGGATGGGGCTTGTAGAATCCAGAGGGCTCTCACATCACTGCCTCAGGGAAACTGCCCAGGACCCAACCAGCCCAGCACCGGCCTGAGCTTTGAAAGTCTAAAGTTAAACAGAAGCTGCAGTTTTTCTTGCCTTGATCACTCATTTACTTACACATCACTGTATTACTGGCACAACACAAAAATAAATTATCCCTCAAGTTGCTACACTCAACTCTAAAAAGAAAATGTCTTTCAAAATAGGTATATTCAAATAAGGTATTCCAAAAGTTGCATTAGGAATGAGCTTGTGCCCCTAAGCAGTTCATGTTCACCTAAACAGCACAGTGCAAACCCTCCTCTGAGATACTTATATGGATCAGTTACAATTAAGACATCACTACTCTCAAAGGAACTATTACAACTATGATTAAAAACGTGTGTCACAAACGGAAACGCCCTGCAGATCCTATCATTGCACATGGGGTTATCAGAAGCTGTGCACATCAAGATCTTGAGGCCTCTAGAAGACCCAGAAGAGAGAGCCTAAGGCCATGCCCGTGGCTGCCCCAGCCAGCATGCCCAACGCCAAATCACTGTCGTTGTCTCGATACCGCTCCCGGATGATGACTTGGTTGGTAGGGTGCTGTCCATAAAGTCCTACAAAACAGAAAAAAAAACAGAGCCCTGAGAAGCAGTTTGTGAAATCTCACATTGACACAAAGAAATAGCTCACCTGGCTGTGAACACTGTGCTGATCACAACAGAATGACCAGCTGTCTCCCCGTCTGCTAGTGAGTGTGGGGTGGAGGTGCAGTGAGGTGCCAGCTGTTTCCCCGTCTGCTAGTGAGTGTGGGG